AAAAAATGTTTTTTTACTAAAATTGTAATAATGTTACTTATTTTGTTAATATATTGTGATACATATAATTTTTTATTATAATAATAAAATTTATTAACAATATATAATTTTTATTAGTTTATTTTTATTTTATACATTAATATGAAAATCATATTCGTATGCTGCCAACGCTGCCAAATCTTAGCAGGAGAAAAAAGTCGCGACGTTATCTCAAAACCAGTTTGCTAGACTTGAAAGAAAACGCAAGACTTATGTCCACTCGCTCTACAAGCCGAGCGCACACGGACACGTGACGTAAGCAGTTCTTGGTTGTGTTGGTGGGAACCGTGGAAGCCAAAGTGTACAAATCTCCCAACACTGGTGCTACGTGGTCAGATCTATGATAGGCTTCTAATATTTGTTTTCCTAACATTTTTATGCGATTTGAGTAAGTGATTATATCTTCTTCATTCTTTTGGTACACACTCCCTAATTCCCCTTGTAATTGATAAATCATTTTTGTTCCTCCGAAGATTCGTTTTAAATGTTTAGTTAAATCGGCAACGTTATCAAAATCTTTGTCGAGTATAGTTCGACGGGCTTCGCCTACTATGCGAGTTCGTAAAATTTTAGTGAATTGAGGCTCGACTTCTTCGGGAAGCATGGTTTTGGCTTCCTCGCATCCCTCAATAAAATAGCTCAACGGTATATTTTTACCGTCGAAAAATGGGACGGCTTCTACCGCGTATTTTAAGGTAGCGAACGGATTACCTTGCGACATGGTTTTCTTTATTTTAAGTTTTGTTTCTGAAGTTAAAGGTCCGCCGTTATCAATCCTTTTGATAGTCTTGTCACCGAAATCGCCGGAATTATTCCCGATCACAGAACTTTCTGGGAGGGTTTTATCTAATATTGACCCGTCTGCCGAAAAGTTCAATTCTTTAGATTTACGTTTAGATGGGGGAATAGACGTCGATGTAAAGTGTGAAGTGTGCGGTGTACTTATGGAATTAGAATCTTTATCTCCTCTTAAGGCTGCTTGATACTGTGCTTCTATTTCGTTTTTATTAGAAGTAGACCTTGTTGTCATCCCTATTTTTGAAAAATCGCACTTTTCATCCCGGACGAGCGCCCAATTTTTTCTCTACTAGTGCTGTTACGTCCTAACCTGGAAGGAAAGGGGAGGAGTCAGGTATACGGACGGACGCAACAATAAAAGTATGAATTTGTGGTGTTTGCTCGCTGGTCGGTAAGAGAGGAGGCGACCGCGCGAGCCGAACGATTTCCCTTGGCTGAGAACAGGTCAACGATCGTAATGAGCGATATTACGCTGTTAGAGGTCTCAACCAAT